TGCACCTTGGAGGTCAGGGCTAAGAGGGCCCCATGGAAGAACAAGCAGCCACCACCAGAGTTGGGGTTTGGGTGCCTCAGTGCCTCCCCGTGGGATCCCCAGGATCTCCTTCTGGCCCCAGCCCCCTTACCCACTGAGCCACCTGTGTGTAACGGGCCCATGCCAGGGACCCTGAGCCCTAGAGAGGGTCAGGGGATGCTCAAGGTCCCTCCAAAGCTGGACAGCAGCCGGCCTGGCTGTGGGCAGGGGCAGGTGGTGGCCCTGTGGAGGCTGGACTGGGGTGGGACCCAGCTTTGACGTGAAGGTGGACTTTGAAAACAGAATAATGCGCTTTGAGTCCCTGCGTGAGCAGCCGCAAGCTGGCAGGGCCGCAGGGGGCTCTGGCTCTGTTTTCCAAAAACACAGATGGGCCGGGAAGGGGGTCAGAGAGAGGCCTGGGCGGACCGTGGGGCCGCAGAGCCTCTGAGGGTCTGATGACTCAGCAGCCTGCACTGCACAGAGCCTGGGGGGGCCTCCCCAAAGCCCACAGGCCTGCAGACCCTCAGGGCTGGGCGGCCTCCAGGCTGGTTCCATCCCTGGCAAGTGGAGGGCCGGTTCTGGCTCTGCCCCCAGCAGCCCTGCGACACGGTCCAGGGGTCACAGCCACCTGGGTCTAGACATTCTCAGCCTCCCTGGGTGAGGAGAGCCTGGCAGGCCCCACAACCTTACCCTCAGCCTGAGGGACGCTGACTCTGATTCATCCTCAGCCCATGGGCACCCTGAGATCCCTGTCACCCTGTCTTAGAGAGTGGGGACTGTGGGTTGACCTTTGGCTATGGCCGCACGCCATTTTCTAGGGGCAGCCTCAGGGATGCTGGGAGGCCTGGAGGCTGCCTCCACGGTCCCTGGGGTCAAGGACAGGGTCTCCCACCAGCAGCAGATGGGCAGGAAGTGGGGAGTCCAAGCGAGGTGGGGTGGGGCCTGGGGCCACCTGGGTGCAGGGGAGTGAGCTGAGGACGCAGAGGAGCGGGCGGGAGGCCAGCGGGGAGCTTGGCGCCAGCACAGCCATGAGAGGGACGATGGGGAGGCCACCTCCAGCCGGCCCCACTTTCGAAGGAATCTGCCTTGCTGTTCCTGAGGCCGAGGCCAGAAACAACAGTGGGAGGAAGGGCGCAGGGTGCGGAGGCGGCACCCCAGCGTGTCATCTCCGCGTTCCCAGACCGGTCCACCGTCTACCCCTGCCCCCAAACATTCTTTCCAGAGTGGACCTCCCTCTCCGCAAGGCTCTGGCGGAGGGGGCCGTGGGAATGCGCTGACCCCGGGCCGCCCGGACCCCAGCTCCAGGCCATCTTTGGCCCCAGGTCCCAGCCCCTGAAGCCCCTTCCTCACATGGGAACCAGGACTTGACCTTCCTTCCGGCTTGAGTGGCTGAGGGACGGAACCCCCTCCCCACCGCCGCTGGCCTCCAGCCTCAGTAGCCCCCAGGGGACCTGGGGACCCTCAGCAAAGGCCACAGCCGGGTCCACTTCCAGCCACAGCTGGCTGAGCCGTGCCTAGGACGGGACAGTCTCCCTGGAGTCTTCTCCCCCCGGGTGCTCTGTGACTCTAGGGGCCTGCAGGTGGGGCTCAGAGTCTAGCCAGAGGCTTTCTCGGAATATTGGCGACTCAGGACCTGTGTCCGGGGCCTCGGAGAAACCCAGGTCAGTGAGAGGCTGCTCTGGGCTTGACTTGGGGGCTGACACTGGACCTGAGCAGGCCAGGGGCCTCTGCGAACACCCCTCAGCATCGTCAGATGCCTCCTCTCATTCTTAAGCCCCACGCTCTTCAGGGTCCTGGTTGGCCAGCCGGGCAGGACCCCCCACAGCCCCCACAGCCCCCGGGAGTGCCCAGCAGAGGCGGGGCGCAGCTGCTCACACCCTGGGCAGCGCCGGAGCCTGGAGCCGCGGCCGGGGTGCATCAAAAGTGAGGCTCTGGTGCCATCTGCTGGTCAAACCTGTGAATGGCAGCTCCCGGCCACATGGCTAGGTGTGAAAAAAGCGACCTGTGCTGGCCAGGCCCTGGAGACAGCAGGCCCCCCCCATCCCCTCTGCTCACGGCCTGGCTGGAGACAGACGCCGGCCAGCATTCGGCCCAAGTTCTGCCCAGGGCTAGCTTTCCCAGAAACTCAGGCTTAAGAACCACCTGCCCTGGCCTCACTTTCTTACCCGGGGGCCGGATCCCTGCTGGGCACCAGGCCCTGGAGGGCGGGGGGTTACCCTCAGCATCCCTTAGTCCACTCTCATCGCCCCAGGGTCTGCTCAGGCCTGGAGACGGGGAGGACAGCAAATATTTGCTGCCGACAGGCAGGAGAAGGCAAACACTGTCCCAACGCCAGGCGAAGATGCCAATTATCCATGCCAGGGGCAGACGCAATCCAGGAAGCCAGCCTGGAGGCAGCCACAGTGGGTGCCTGGGTGGGTGGGGAAATGTGCCACGTGCCTGGCTCCGGGGTATAAGAGCTTCCTCCCTGTGCAGCACATGTGAAGGCAGGACGCTCAGAGAGAAGGCTGCATGCGGGCTGCCCTAGTTCCTCCAGGCATAGGCAGAGGTTTCAAGGGGGTCTGGCAGGTTTGGGGGGCCTTGGAGGGCAACTGCATTGTGACTGGGCAGCAGTTAGATGGATCCAACGCCAGGGTGAGGGGTGGGGCTGGAGGCAGCAGAGTGCCCCTGCCAGCCCCATGCGCATGTGGAGCCCAGGTTCCAAGGCCAGGCGGATCTCCGGACACTGGAGGTGTCTGTCCTGCAGCTTCCCAGAAGGGGCGGAGCACAGGCAGTAGCCAAGCTCCGTGGGCCTGGCTCACATGGGGTGACCTGGGAGCTCTGGGAGCATCCACACTCCCCAGCCAGGGCGTCTGGGGGCCAGTGCCCAAGGTGGTGCCCGACAGGAGACTGGGTCTGATGCTGCCCTGCACCTGGGTCACCTTGACAGCACTTCTCACTGGGGCTGGGGAGATAGAGGGACTGTCCCTTGTCCTCACTTTGGCCTCCCGTGTCCATCTTTTCCAGGACACAGTGGTGGGGGGTCAAGGGGCTGAGAAGCCAGGCCTGGGGGCCAGGGTCCCGGGTCTCAGCAAGGTGAGAGGTGGCCCCAGCTCTGGCCCAGGGCAGCTGAGGGCACCACAAGCCATGGCTGAGTCTTTTGGGTGGCAGCCTTGCCCTCCCCTGAGGCCCTGGGCCAGAGGTCCCCCAGAACAGAGTCGCAGAAGATTTGGCCCTCAGAGGACACTCCATGGCCCTCAGCACCAGCCAGCATCAGCTGCCCTATAAGTCCCGGAAGGCTGGGACAGCCCCAGGGTCCCTGGACACCACTCTCCACAGCTCCCCACAGAGCACTGGCCCCCCGGCCAGGCTTAAGAAACACCTGTCCTGGCCTCACTCTGCCCATCATCCCCACGGCCTTGTTGGCCATCAGGGGCAGCCAGGGCAGCAGCTTGTCCAATGGCCGCCTGGAGGGCAGCCTCCCAGCGGGCCCACCGCAGCCCCTCGAAAGCTCACATACCTCGGCTCCAGCAGGGCGCCCGTCTCTACCCGTGCGAGTGGGGCCGGCCGGGTGTTCCCATGGACGACTGCCGCTGATCCCAGCCACCGCCTCCCTCCTCTTCCGGGGCCAGTGTCCGGCCGGCCACCCGCCTGCCCAGTCTTGGCCCCCACTCTGGGGGCGGGGCTAGATGGGGGCTGTGACAGCTCTGGGCAGAGGGGGAGCTTATATGGTCATGGGGAAGGGGCGAGCTCAGAGCTTCAGGGACAGGGCTGCCCCAACGGCCAGGCCCCCAGCTGGAGGTGAGCGCCTGGCCTCAAGCCCACGCTGGCAGTGGTCTGCAGCCCCAGGCCATATCAGCCCCAGGCCCAGCCATCCCCAGCCCAGCCCTGGGTGGAGCTCTCAGGAAAGGTCCACATTGGTTTGGCCTGGGTGGCAGGCAGGCTGGCCCGGCCACAGGGTGTTTCGGGTCACCTGCTGACCTCCCAGGCTACAGTAGGCCCAGGCAGCCCCTGGCTTTCGTCCGCCCACTAGGCCAGGTGCCCAGTGGAGCCGCCCTGTGCCCAGAGGTGCTAAAGAATTCATGTCGGACCCCCAAAGACCTGCAGCCCAGCGTGACGTCATCACCAGGGCTTGTGCGTCCTTCCAGATGAGTGGCAGGTCTGTAGATAGGAAGCCCGCCATGTGGCCCTGCTTATGGGGAGGGGGAGGGCAAAGGGGCCACAGGGGAACCCTGGCCCTGGTCTCTGTCCTGGTGGCCTTGGTGGTTCCCTGTCCTCCTGGGCTGCAGTCCTCTGGGGCTTCCAGCCAGGGTGCCCAAGGTGTGGGTTCCAAGGCCCTGCCCACGCTGCCACCGTCCTCACACCTGCCCCGGCTCACGCTCCCATCTGCCCTCCCCTGTTCCCTCCAAGGCACCAGCAGGGCCCCCAGGTGTCCAGCTGGGCCTGGCTGGTTTGGGCTGTGGCTGCAGACCACTGCCAGCGTGGGCCTCAAGGCCAGGGTGTGTGACTGTCCCAGGACTGCCTGGAGCTGGGGATCACAGGTACCACTCGGCAGCCCCTCCCCACTTCCCAGTCCCCGCCTGCAGGACCCCCCCCACAGCCCAGCCTCCTCCTTCCACAGGGACTCCATCACAAATAGCTCTAAAAATAGAACCTGGGAGGGCTAGGTGGGGGAAATTGCTGGAATGTTCTCATTCCCTTTCCTCAACAAGGTCTCTGGGGACTCCAAGAGCCTAGAGCTACTGAGCAAGAAGTCATTTCCCAGTGGTCCCCCTACCCCGGCCTCTCAGAGACCCCCACAACTCCGAAAGTGGACCCGCAGCCCAAGGGTGGGAGTAGCCAACAGGCATCACCACTTTGGAGAGAACTGCTGCAGGCTGGGCCTGGCTTTTGAGGGCACCTGTGGGCATCTAGAGAGGGTGGAGAGAGCTGGGAGGGACTCATAACTGCCAGGAAGCGGGGCCTGGCCCAGGACCCCCAAAACACACAGACAGCACAGCAGAGCTGGTTCAAGGCTTTATTCCATCACTCATGGTGCAGGTGTGGAGGGCGCAGGGCTGCATTTGGGCCTGCCTGCGGGCCATGGCTAGTTGCGGTTCTCCAGCTGGTAGAGGGAGCAGGTGCTGGTGCAGGCGGCAGTGGGCACGGGGTGGCCTGTGAGCCCAGTCTAGTTGCAGTAGTTCTGCAGCTGGTAGAGGGAGCAGATGCTGGTGCAGCACTGATCCACAACGCCACGTTTCTGCAGGGGACCCTCCAAGGGCGGCAGGCTGCCCGTGATAGAGCCCCCACCCAGCTCCACCTGCCCCACTGCCAGGGCGAGCCACGCAGAGCAGGTCCGGAACAGTGGCGAGGAAGAGGACACAGGATGGCACAGTCAGGGAGAGACGGTGCCCGCCTGCCCACCAGCCCCAGGTCATGCTCCCACCCCTCTCCAGCCGAGCTGGGCCCAGGTTGAGGAAGGGTGGCCCACACTGGGTGTGGACATACAGGGCTTCAATGCCCTGGGCGGTGCCATGGCAGGAGGCTGAACAGGTACCCCCGGTACGTCTTCCCAGGGCCTGTCCCCAGCGCCTGCCCCATTTCCTGACTATGGAGCTGTCATGAAGCCCGGGGACAGGGTTTGGCCCACTGTGGTCAGCAGCCATGCCCTCCTCAGGGTGCCATGGGACATTTGCCCACAGGCAGGCAGTGTGGGGCACCCTGTGACCCCAGGTCACCCAGGACTTGATGTACTCAACAAAACACTGGAAGCTGTGGTCCTCAGGTGAGGGTGGAGAATTGGGCTGTGAGGCATTTGATTGAGGGCACGTGGAGGGAGGAATCTGCCCTGCCCACCCTCTGAGGTATCTCGGAGCTCAGCTGCCGAAGCCAATACCGTCCTCAGGCTGAGATTCTGCCGGGAGATTCTACAGGGAGCTGGTCACTTCATTTCTTTTTAAAAAGTCCACCTGTCTCCCTACTGGTAGCAGCCTCCTGTCCCCTTCTGCCCAGGCTGGGTGGGAGCAGCAGGAGCAGGGGTGGCTGGGGGCGGAGTGGGGAGTGAGGAGCAGTGGGGCTCACCCTGCAGGTCCTCCGCCTCCCGGCGGGTCTTGGGTGCGTAGAAAAAACCTCGCTCCCCGCACACCAGGTAGAGGGCTTCCACCAGGTGGGGGCCGCACAGGTGCTGGTTGACAAAGGCCGGGGCCGGCTCGGGTCCCCAGAGGGCCAGCAGCCCCAGCAAGGGCAGGAGGTGCATCCACAGGGCCATGGTAGAAGGACAGTGACCTGGGAGACAGGCAGGGCTGAGGCCGGCTGAAGGCCAGGTGCCCTGCCCCGGGGCCCCTGGGCTCACCCAAATGCTTCAGAGCCCAGCCACGCCCTCCCACTGCAGAGCTGGGGCCTGGGGTCCAACTGCTCGGAACCCCCAAGTGGGGCAGCCCTGGGCCCAGGCTGGCTCAGAGGCCCTTGGAACAGACCTGTTCGCTGGCCTCCTGTGATGCAGCTGGTCCCGGACTGCTAAGGGCTGCTGGGTCCCCGCTGGCTTTATAGGCGCAGAGCCCATCTTCCCTACCTGCCAACCCTGCCGCCTGGCCCATTAGGGCCTGGGGTTCGGGGGCTGGCAGATGGCTGGGGGCTGAAGCTGCACTTTCCAGATCATTTCCTGGCTGCTGGGTCTGCGGGAATATCTCCTTGGTCGTCAGCACCTCCTCCTCAGGGCCAGGGAGGGAGTCATTAGAGTCTTAACCAGGGGCCTGGTGGCCAGACCTGTCCCTGCTCGCAGCTGGGGGTAAATGTCTCTGGGAGAGCAAAGCCCTCGTCTGGGCCACTTTCCACATTAGACCAGGAGAGCAGGAGGCTGCAGGGCGGAGTTCTTCACGTTGCTGTCCCCAGACTCCTGCCCTCTATCTCTGGTTGCCCGGGATGCCCCCATGGGTGGGTCGAGGTTGTGGGGTGGGGGAGAGAGGGGGCCCCCTCCCTGCTGGCTGCCCAGTTCCCACCCCACCCCAGGACAGCAGCCCCAGCTGAGGCCCTCAGTTCCCCCAGGCAGCAGGAGGGCAGGACCCGGGGACCCAAGGACAAGCAGTGGGTCCCCAGCAGGCCGCCTGTGATCTGCAGTGGCTGCAGGGCTCCATGGGAGGGTGTGGGAAGCTCCGTCCCGGCCCCATAGGCACCCTCCTGGCCCCACTCCTCTTCCGGGAGCCCCTGCCCATCGCTCCTCTCCTGGCCAGGCCCCACCATCCCATCACCCCTACAGTGTGACCTGGGCTGAGCCCTAGGCAGGCACCTGGAGGCCCAGCCAGACCCATCGGGAGTGCACAGGCTCCGAGCCCCACTGTCCGAAGCCCCTAACCGCCTGTGAGCTCCAGGGGCAGGATCAGGAGGTCCCAGCAGCAGGAGGGCGAGATCATGGGGCAGGCAGGTTGGGGCACTGTGTGCCGCGAACCTCTCATCCCTGTGCCCCAGCCTGGCCTCAGCCTCAGAGCCCCTGGGGGCCGCCCTGAAGAACTCGCCCAGCCTTAGCGTCTCCTGCCTAGCCAGCTTGGTAATGGGCAGCAGCTGACTGTGGGGCCCCTCCCTTCCGCCCATTCCACCCTGAGCCATGCTGCAGCAGGACCTGTGGTGACTGCCCCAGGATGCCACCATGCTCTGAGGCCCTGCAGTGGGGGAAGGCATAGGTGCCTCCTTAAGACGAGTGTGTAAGGAGGGAGCCTGGATGGGGGTACCTAGGTGGGAGGGCAGAGCCAGGGGCTGGCCGGGTCAGGGGCAGCGAGGTAGGCACAAGCTCTTCCCCAGGGCTTCCTTGGGGCTCACAGCCCTTCAGAGACACTCCTAGTTCCAGCCTTTAAGTGCCTGCAGGGGCTGGGCACCGACAAGGTGTGTGAGGAACACACTGCCAGGCTGGGAAGGACTGTTGTGCCCGGGAGGGCCTTGACAGATAAGTAGGAGTTTGCCACGGTTGTCAGCCTGGGAGCTAAGAGCCAGGATCCCAGCAGAGCGTGGTGGGGCAGCTGGAGGGAGGGAAGGGCATTGAAGGCCAGCTGGTGTCCTGGCCCACCCTGCAGGATGCCCTGGGGTTGCTCTCTCCAAGATAGGAAGGGGCACCCGGCTGGTCAGGCCTGGAGGGTGCTGGGTGCTTTCTCTGGAGGGCGTCTCCCATCTCACAGGCAGCCTCCTGGGGAGACAGGCCCAGGGCCTCTGCACAGCCACCAGCTCAACCGGACTTTCCCATCAGCACACATTCTGGGGGCTATGCTGAGGCCCCCCTCAGATCGCAGGGTCTGCTCCGGGTGGGTGGGGCATCTCCCCAGTCCTCTCAAGGTCTGGGAGCCCCATCAGCAGGGGGTGCTAGGCCGGCAGGCCCCCCTCTGAGGCCACCCCCAGCCAGCACAGTTGCGACCCCTGCTCCCTGCCAGGCCTGAGAGAGATCCTCCCACTGTCACCTGGCTCCCTACCCTGGGAGGGCACCCACGGAGATGGGGCAGCTCAGCCAGGGTGCCCGAGGGGCTCAGAGCTGGGCAGGGCCTCAGGGTGAGCGGGGAAACTGGCCCCAGAGGGGCCTGCTGCCTGGCCAGGGTGATCAGCCATCTCCGAGAGGAGGAAGGAGGCCAGGGCAAAACCTCTGAGTCAGGCTGGGGTGGGGGCGTGGGAGCCTGGGGCTCCCAGGGTCTGTCTTTGTGGCACAGACACGGGCCAGGCAGATGGAGGCACACTTTCTTTTATTATGACAGTGGATGGGGCAGCAGATGGGGTCAGGGCAGGGCGGAGAGCAGCGCAGCAGCCTCCAGGACCCTGGTAGCTGGACAGGACGTCACCACGGGCAGCAGGACCTCACCATGGGCACACGCAGCAGTTGCGCTGAGAAGCAGGCATTGGGGCAGCAGAAGCCTGGCAGCGGGGAAGGCGTGGGGGGCAGTGGGACCCAGCCCCTTACCAGGGCCTGAGCTCCGGGATGGTGCAGGAGCAGGGGAGGTTGGGAAGGGCCCTCAGTGGCGCCCTGAACCTAGCCAATGGCACTCAGTGCGTGGGCCAGGGTGTCCAGCTCGTCCTGGACACCCTCCAGGGAGCGCCGCACGGCCTGGGGGCTGTCCAGCACGTCCACGGCCTGCGTGTACGGGTCAAACTTCACGGAGAAGGGGCGCTGGATGCGTGAGGCGTAGCTCCTGGGGAGGAGAGCGGCAGAGCCCTCGGTCAATCGTCGGGCAGAGTCTGCAGCCTCCAGGAGAGGGGGGCCAGGGGCTGCATTTCCACCATCACAGTGGCTCCAAGCTCCCGGGGCTTTTCTGAGCCACCTGGTCACAGGCAGGACACTGAGTCCTCCTCCAGGGCTGGGCGAGGGGTTCACGGGGAGACAGGCCAGGCTCCTTTTCCACTAGAGCCTTTGCCAGGCACCCCATCCCTGTCTGCACCTCCACCAGGCCTCATTCTCCAGGAAGCCTTCCTTGACCATATCCCTAAGCCTGTGAGTGGAATTCAGCACCCCAGTCTGACTGACACATAACTCCTGGCCTCAGTTTCCCCAGGGCACAAGGGTGGGGCTGGAGGGAAGATGATGAGCCCTTTTACTGAGGCTCATGGGCTCTGCTCCCCTCTCCTGACACCCTGGTCACTGCACCAAAGGCCCCTCGCCCCAGGGACCCCACACCCACTGTCCCCCACCCTGCCTCTCCCCATCCCAGGTTCCACAGGACCTCCTCACAAAGCTCAGCTCTGCCAACACCCCCAAGAGTGGTCTTGACCTGGCCTTGACCCGGCCACCCAGCACCCCCAGTCCTGTAGGTCTGCCCCTCCACAGACGCTGGGGTCCTGCTCACAGACGGTGTCCCTGCCGTGAGGGGCTCCTGCAACCGTGGGTCCGTTTTCTCGCCTGTGACCTGGGCTCACAGCCCAGCCCTGCTCAAGGCCTGAAGGAAGGCCTGGCTTGTCCAGTGTGGGGGCACAACGGGGGGCTCGCCACAGGAGCCAAGCCCACCTGAGCTTGTCCTTGGCGTCGCTGAAGCTCTCTGACACGAAGTACACCGACTGGTACGTCTGGTCTTGGTAGGGCTGCACGGCCGCAGCTTCGGGGTCGAAGGCCCGGATCTCTGGCTCCTCAGACAGGGAGTGCTGGTGGGGGGCAGGCGGCGTCACTGACCCCACTGCACCCAGGCCCCTGGGGGAACTGGGCACTGTGGCCTGACGCTGGGTGGCTTCCTCGGGCAGAGTCGCCCCCGCCTCCCCCGCCGGGCCTCCCAGGGCCTGGGATAGTGTGGGGTGGGGACTGGGCAGAGACACACTTTCTCCAAAGACAGCATGAGTCCTGGAGGCCCAGGCCGCAGTTTCTCCCCTGGGAGTCTGTCCCCTCCCTGCACTGTCCCCCATGGATGCCCCGCCCCTCCGCTGGGGGCTGCGCAGGGACAGGGTCTCACCAAGAGCTCCCCGTAGGAGGACAGCAGCCCGGCGCCGTAGGCCTTCACCTCCCCGTTCTGCTTACACAGCCCAAACTCCACCGTGAACCAGTACAGCTGTGGGAAGGCCGGGCAGCCTCAGCCCAGGGACAGCGGCCACCCACTGGGCAGCCCCTGGTCACCTGTGACGCGGACACCACCCCAGGGAGGGCAGACCAGGCTGCAGGCAGGCCAGGGTGAGGGTCGCGATTCATGGGTGGAAGCAAAGGCCTCAGCCTGGACAGCAGGAGGACGTGGCCTGGATTCGGACCCCGAAGCCCGAGCCCAGGCCCTGCAGGGAGGGGTCAACCCACCGTGGACAGCTTCTCAATTTCCTCATCCGAGGCCCCCAGGGATGCCAGGCCGATGTCCTGTGGAGCGGGCGGGAAGATGAAGGGTAGAGGGAGGCAGCCCTGGGTCAAGCTCAAGGTGGGGGCGCCAGGGGTGTCAGCAGCCCCTCCAGTGGTCTCTGGGACACTGCCCGGGGGGCAGAGACCTACCCCAGCCACCCAGGGTCCACAACCTCCACCGGGCCTCCTCCTTCAGGCAGCCCTCCTTGACCATATCCCTAAGCCTGTGGGTGCCGTTATCAGGCAGCCGGCAGATGGCAGCACAGCCCGTGGGAGGCTTCCCTCCAGCCCCACCCTCTGCCCCTCGACCCTGGGGCGCCGAGCCCCCCATGGCAGGACCCAGGGGCAGGCAGCACATTTCACACCCCCCCACATCAACCCCCGACCCGTCCTAGGCCCCAGACCAGCCCCTGGGTGACCCTGGTTCCCTCTGGGGCCACAGCGCACCTGGGAGAACTGTGCGAAGGTGCGGTCAGCCAGCATGGGCACGTGCCCCAGCAGCTCATGGCAGCAGTCCCTGCTCAAAGGAGGGCGGGGCTGAGGGGCCACCCACCGTACCCCCAACCCTCAGGTCTGCCTGCGTGTGGGGGGGGCTGAGGAGCCACTGGTTGCACCCCTCACCAGAGGGGCTGCCTATGTGGATGGAGAGGGCAGCTGAGGGGCCGCTGGTCCCCCCCTCCGTCGGGGCTGCCTGTGTGGACCGTGAGGGGGCTGAGGGTCCGCCCACCGCACCTCCCACCCTCAGGGCTGTCTGGGCACAGGAGAGAGAGGGCAGCTGAGGGGCCACCTGTTGCACCCCCCACTCTTGGGCTGGGGGCCAGGGCGTTCACTCACGGCTCTGGGGAGTGCATGGGCGAGGACGCGTGGCGGATGTACTGGGTGCACTGGAACACGCGGAAGGCCAGGCTTGCCAGGAAGTCCCGGGCAGACAGCAGGCCGGCCACAGGCCGCAGCTGGAAGCCCGTGCGCTCTGCAAGGGGCCACCTGGTCACGGCCACGCAGGGGCGAGCTAGCCATGCAGGGCTGGGGCTCGTGGCGGCCGGCCCGGCCCCGGCTCCCCGCCCCTCCCGCCCGGGGCACACCCTTCAGGAAGCGGGAGACGTCCTCCAGCTGGGGGATGTTGTCCTCCCGGTAGCCGCTGAAGCGCTCCAGCAGCGCGAAGGCTTCCAGGTGCTCCCCGCAGGCGTGGGTGGCGTACAGCCCCTTCAGCTTGGTGTAGACCTCCTTCCTGCAGGTGGTGGTGCTCAGGCCCTCTCAACACCACACCCCAGTGCCCGAAACCCCCTCCCGGAAGCCCCTCCTGAGCCGTGGGCACCTCTGCCTGCCTGAGCCTCCCCAACACAGGCCTCTCAGGGACTCCTGAAGACCCAGGCCCCTGGGAGGGGCTTTTGCTGGTGGCTTTGGGGAATCCCAGGAGGTAGAGGGTCATGAGGGGCGGTCGCTCAGCACTCTGGGGATGGCCCAGCAGGATGGGTAGCCTCTTCCTCCCAACCTGACACTCTGAGCCCTGGAAGTCCCTCCTCTTCCTGGCCTTAGTTTCTCCTGCTGTGCCAACATTCCCGGAGGTGGCTCTCACACGCCAGGATTCTGGGAGGTGTCCCCCGGGCTCCTCCCCAGCCCCTGGCCAGCTAGCTGCACAGGGGTCTCACCAGGTGGCAATCTCCTCAGCGGTGTACTCCACACGGGGAATCGGGTCGCCACTGGGGAGAGGCCAGTGGTCAGCAGGTGCTCTTGGACAGCAGGAAGGTGCAGGAGGTAGGGAGGGAGGGAGAGAGCCTCACTGGCCACAGGACCACACCCACCTTGTGCAGCGAGGACTTTGGGGTAAAGGATGGAAGGAGGGTATGCCCTGGTTGACTATACCGTGAGCCGGCTGTGTGGCCTCTGTGGGTTGCTTTAGCCCCCCTGGTGCCTCAGTTTCTCCACTGGGATTTGGGGACAAGGGAAAGCCCTGGAGCAGAGCTGCCTGGCAGGAGGCACTGATGCTGGTGACATGATGGGTCCTCCCCTTTGTCCTTCCCTCCCGCCCCCCAGGTCCAGCGTGAGCCTGCAGGACAGTCTGCGTCCCCAGCATGGGGGCTCCTCACTGCCTGTACTGGAAGGCGATCTCGGCAATCAGCTTCCTGCGCTGGCGGTACACCTGGTCGGAGAAGCCCTGAGGACAGAGGGGATGCAGGGGTCACGAGGCTGTGCCCGGGAGGGGCCCTGAGGGCAGAGGGGATGCAGGGGTCACCAGGCTGTGCCTGGGAGGGGTTCGGGCCTCTGGGGCTCCTGAAGCCGGCAGACTCCCATCCAGGCTTGGGCTGAGGGTGGGGATGTGATTGGGACAGGGGGCCTGGGCCCTCCGGCACCACTCACCGGGTGGTCCAAGTCCAGGTCAGGGTCGAACTTGGTGACCAGGTGATGACACTTGTCCAGCTCTGACACTTTTCTCGGGAACCAGGGGACTTCCAGGGGGATGGAGGAAGAGGTCTTGGTGAGCTCGGAGCCGTGGGACCGAGTAACTCACCTTGAAGCAGCCTCCCCTATAAGACTTCCGGGGGGCAGAGGCGGCTGGGGCTGTGATAGCTGTGGGGGGGTCCCCCTGCAGGAGCCTCTGCACCCCAGAGCCTCAAGGTCATTTGGTGGCACTCAGGACAGAAAACCAGCCTCACCCTTGTGCTCCACGGGGCTGTGCACATCCTCTGACACCTGGCGCACACCACTGAGCAGGGCGGCCAGGTCCCCTCTGGGTACCTCCAGGCGCACAAAGTACTCCAGGTGGGGGCCCCCCGCTCTAGGCCTCTGGGACGGCCGGGTCTCTAGGTGGTGGATTTTGGCTTCAAATGTCTTAGGGAGCAAAAGCAGGAAGAGAGGTGAAATGAGAAAGACAGAGACAGAGAGAGAGAGTGAGGAGGAGGGAAGGAGGAGGTATATCCGGTCAGCCGGCCCGGCCCAGTCCTGCCCTTCCCTGCCCTGCCCTGCCCTGCCCTGCCCTGCCCGCTCCTGCCCTTGACCTTTGCAGCACACAGACCCTGTTCTCCCAGGCTCAGGTCAGCGTGCGCCGCCAGGCTAGGGGTCGCCACTGGCAAACTGGGTTTTGTGTCACGCACATAACCAGGAGTTGTCACCGTGTGAGCCTTGACCTGCTTCTGGGCGGCTCTGTGTGTCCTGAGGCTGTGCCACACAGCCTGGCTCCCCAGCCACTGGTCAGACGCCGCCCCAACTCTGGTAGCCTGGTCCAGGGCTGCAGGGTGGGGGACACTGAGTCTCACTGGCCCCTGAGCATCCAGGGCACTGGCCGGAAGGGGCCGCTCCACCTCCCCAACGCCCCGTTGCCCAGCAACAAGGACTGTGGGTTGCAGTGGCCCTCGGGCCAGGAAGCCAGCTCTGCGAGCTGATGGGGAGTCTGGCTTTAATGTCATTTGGGAGCCTCTTCCCGGAGCCAGGTCACCTGCCCCCCTAGGCACAGTGGGTCCAGAGTGACTAAAACAATCAGCAGTCACCTCAGCTGCTGTGCTGGACGGGTGGGAGGGGGTGCCTTGCCCTACCCCTGCCTCCCATGCTGCCCTGCTGGGAGCCCCCCCATGTATGAAACGGTGGATGAGGGGCAGCTGTGGGTGGGCAAGGCAGGGGGAACAGTGAGACTTGATGGCCTCAGCCCTAGGGCTGGGCTCAGGATCCCTCAAGAACACGTGGTGCAGCCAGAAGCCAGGGGGGCTGAGCAGAGGCCTGAGACTCCCCCACTGCACCCTGTGCTGGCCTCAGGGTCCTGGACCGCTGCGTCTCTTCTATAAAGGCGTCAGGGACTCACCCCTCCCCCCACAGCCCCACCTGCAGGTGCACTTGCCCCAGGGACACAGAGGCCACCAGCTCACCTCGAACACCTTCACAGCTCGGGACAGCGCGGAGGGCTTGGTGGCCCTCGGGGAGAAGAGCAGGTTCAGCACCGCCTTCCCCTCCTTCTCCTCAAAGGCCACGGCCTCCAGGGGGTCCCCAGGCTCCGAGGAGGCTGCAGCCGCCGCTGCCGCCACCGCCGCCTCCCTCTCCTTTCGGGCGTCCTCGATGAGGCTCTGCCGCCGCCCAATGAACCTCGGGGACTGTGGGAACAGGGGTACCTGTGTCTCCTCCACCTGCTGAGCCCCTGGAGGTTGGTCCCACAGAAACCAGGGAGGAGAGCGCATTGCTAAACACCTACTGTGTGCCTGCTCGGGCAGACGCTAGCTGAGGTGCCTGTGGGCATCGACCCCGGTGGGGGGCAGCCCAGCCAGAAGTGGTGGTGGTAGGGGAGGAGTAGGGGGCTCTGTGGGGAGCAGACAGACAGAGGCAATGTGTCACCTGTCCCCAGGCCAGGCGCTAACCGGATTAGTGATGGGAAGAGGGCGATGTCTCGATGGACAGTGCCATCGGCTGCTGGGGAGGGGACGGCAGCTCAGGAAGGAGCTGCCCCCACAGGGCCCCAGTGAAGAACCCCTCTAGCTTCTTGGCTCCTGCACAGGGTCCCTTTCTCATACCTCCATCAGGACCCTGTCCTCCGGCCCTGCCCCTCTTCACTACCCCTGTGCGCCCGCTCCTGGCTGCCTCGTCATCCCTCCACCCTTTGTCACAGCTCAGGATGCAGGTGTCTCTCCCTGGACTCAGCTCCTCTGACCCCCCGATCCCGGAGCCGTCCCAGGCCTGGACAGAGAACCACTTGTCAGATGCCTGGGACTCATCTCTTGGAGCTGAACTCCCGAGACAGCTCTGGGCCCCTTGTAAGAGAAGAATCCACTTTGTCCAGCGCTTCCAGGTCTTGGAATGTGAATCGGGCAGCAGGAGACCCCTCGGAGCCACCCTCACCCTCGGGGATGTGTGGATGCAGCTAGAGCCGCAGTTCCAGGCTGTGGAGAGCCTGAAGGCTGGGCCCTGGGTCCTCTGGGGAGGGGACGCCTGAAGGGGAGCCTGGCGGGGGGAGGGCGCTCTGTACCCCTGAAAAGGTGCATGGAAATGACCCTGCTACAACCACACCATGTTTCATTCAAGGTCCACAAATAAAAGCCTGTTTAAAATGTACCAGGGAGCCGACGGTTCTGAGTGCCTCAGGAGGCACCGAAGACCCGTCCTGTTGGCTGAGACGCTCCCGATTATCCAGCCTGGCCCACACAGCCCCTTGGACACAGGGCTCCCAAGTGTGGTCCACAGGGAACTCAGGCTCCACGGTGAAGGAAGGAAGGAAGGAAGGAAGGAAGGGAGGGAGGGAGGGAGGGAGGGAGGAAGGAAGGAAGGAAGGAAGGGAGGAAGGAATGGGCCGAGGGGAATTGCCCCAAAGCCCAGATACCCTTTGACTCTGGACTTGCCCCTTATTTGCCCAGGAACCCCCACCATGAGCTGCTGCTAGAGCCTCAGAAGAGTCTGGGGGTGCCTCCCCGAACAGGTGGGTTGGTTGGGGTGCTGACAGAGCAGCTGGGACAGAGGGAGGAAGGGGCAGGTGGGAGCAGGGTGGGGGTTGCGTGCATGCAGCAGCCAGGGATCTCTGGCTATCTGGGATTTTGGGGATGAATTTTTTTTTCATGTTTTCATTGTTAAGACTCAAGATGAAGCAAGACACAGGGACCCATATAACACCAGGGAAGGCCGGCCCAAGAAGGGCACACACAGGGACAGGCACCGTCTCACTCTCCCCCCTCAGCGACCCACACACCAGGCACGGGGTATGCCGCTATGCCCAGGACTCCACACCCATGCTGAGCCCCAGGGGTCTGCATGGACCTGGAGCCCGGGGCTGCCAGCCAGGCTGGGGAGCAGCAGAGACAGCTGGCACCAGTCCCGGGCTCCGGTCCACTGAAGCCCCTGGGCACCTACCTGCCCTCTTACCATGATGGCCTCTGCCTGCTTGGCGTCCAGCTCAGACACAGCCCTGCGAAAGCCCTTGGCCTGCGGTGCGGTGGCGTCGGGGGTAGGCATGGTTTAGTGTGGAGGTCCCAGCTCTGTCTCCACAGCCCTGGCCCAGCGGCCTCTTATAAGCTGAGCTGACGTCAAAGCCCACTCTGGGTCCCCCACCTTCCCCTCCTCATGTCCCCCACCCCTGCCTGCTGTGCCTGGTGGAGGCGGGAGTGGGTGAGGAGGGAGGGGTGGAGGCGAGGGAGAAAGGGCTCGTCCGTGGAATCTAATTGCCTCCACTCTGCAGCCCTGTCTGAATCATCCTCAGCCCAGGCGGGCTTGCTTGCAGGGACCAGGGGCTGGCTCGTGCTCTGCAGGGGGCTGAGACAGCCGGGCTCCTCTTGGCCCCATATCCCTCAAGGGGGCCCACAGGGAGGGGCTGTCTGGGCAGCCCAGGGGCACACTTTTAATGAATGCCAGACCCTTGTGGCAAACAGACCCAGAAAGCCCCAAGACGGGAAATCCAGCCTCCAGCCTCAGACGCCAGGAGGCCATTTGTTTGCTTCTCCAGAAAACGCCAGGCCGTGTGCCTGGTAGACGTGGTTCCTAGGAGTGCCACCTGCCCTCAGCCCCCAGGCCCTGCACGTGCGGCTCACGGGAGCCAGAATGTCCCTGTCGGTCTGGCTGTCCAGTGCGGAGGACCCAGGAGGCCGGAGGGAAGACATCTCTAAGGAGATGCCCACGTTTCTGAACGGCTTCCACCTCCTGCATGGCAGCCCCTACCAGAGCGGCCAGGGAAACCAGGGCTGGTACAGCGCCCCAGGGACAGCTTCCACCCACTCCACGCAGCCCCTCCGTGGCCCACCACTAGCTCCCGGCTTCCCTCGGAGGTCCTGTGGCCCCTCTTTTGAAGAGCACGCCTGACCCTCAGTGCTGAGGGCCCCATCAGCTCAGAGAGACCCTTGCAGCTCCTCCTCCACCCCAGTGGGCCCTGGGGCAAGGGTGATCCTGGGGTGACCCAACAACTCCCCTGAGGACAACCCCAGCTGAGAGCCTCTCCCAAGTTTCGTGTTCACCCCACAATCCACAGACACCCGTGCCCAGCCCACGCCCCCTGGCACCTCCTGCTCCCAGCTGCTGCCCCGACCTGGGCAGTGAGGTCCCTGCCCAGGGTGGCTTCTGGCCCTTCTGGTGGAAGGGGAGGGCTCCTTGTCTCTCTGGGGTCAGCAGAGATGGCCAGAGCCCACCTTGACAATGCTGGAGTGGAGAGAGGGAAGGACATGGCCCCGGAGTGCGTGGGCTGTGGCCACCGCTGACACTGCTGTCCCTCCTGGAGAGGAGCCACTTCCAATGGGCATGGGGCCCTCTGCCTCTGCTGGGCTTTCTGGTGTCAGAAGCCCAGGTGCTCCCTGACTTCTTGAAGGCCTACCCCAGCTAGTCTCTGTGGCACCCAGAGCTGGCATCTCTCACCGCCACTCTGCTCCCGTCAGCTGCGGGACCCCCGCCCTGTTCTCTTCAACAGTAGCCCCCGGGGCCTTTCCTAAAACTGCCTCAGCCATGGCATCCCTATGCTAAGTGCTCAGTCAGAGCATCGGGAAGACCCCCACCCTTCCCACTTTGTGCCCCAGGATTTGGGGCTCCGTGACCCCCAGTTTGCAATGTCATTCCTCACCCACCTCTTTTCCAGGTGAGCTCCTGTGCATCCCACAAAACCCAGCTCAGTCACTGCTCACTCTGCAAGGCCTGCCTTCTTTGCTATGGCTCCCTCAGGCTCCTCTGGAACCTCCCTGGGGGCAGACACTCCACCCGTTTGGCCCCTGCTGTCTCCCAGTGCCCAGGGCAGACCCCGACCCCTCTCGAAGACGCTGTGCCCTCTGCAGCAGTTGCCAAGAGGCCTCTACCTCTAGGTCCTGGCCCACAGTAGGTCTGGGGTGTCTGCTCAGAAGGGCATCAGAGGGATTTGCCTCCAAGACCGCAGCCTGAAGGCCCAACCTCTGGCCTCACCCTGTAGGCTGTGAGCTTCTGTCACCCGGGGCTGAGGCCCCCCTGCCCCTGAGTCCCTGATGGTGGCCCCCCGGTGGCCCGCCTCCATGCCCAGCATCCAGGCCTGCTGAAGCTCTGCACAGCTGTCCCTGGCTCTCCTCAAGGACCCCCGAGACTCTTATTTGTGTCCCTCAGGATGGGTTGCTGGGCATCCCTTGGTGAGGCAGCTCCAGGTCCCCTAGCCCCCACCCCAGCTCTATCCAGCACGGTCCAAGTGCTCAGGTGCCCAGGCCAGGAGGTAAGACCTGCCTGACAAACAGCATGCCGGAGGCTGGTGGCCCACTCTGCCGGATGTGGGTTTAACCTTTCAGCAAATGTCTCCTCTGATACAAATACTGCTTTCTAATTCGTTTTCCTGCCTGCGCCAGCCGTGCTTTCACGGAAGCCCTGTGGGAACTAGGCTTTCTAGACTATTCCTTGGGGCCAGGCTCTCCGGAGGCAGGAGCTCAGGCCAGGTGCTGAGGCCAGAGAGGCCCCTGAACCCCCGGGAGGTGAGTGCTGCCTTCGGGCCCCTGCACCTGTCCCTCGTCCCGCCTCCCGCCCCAGCCAGGCAGCATTCATCCCTGCCTGTCCATTCCCGAGAAGCTTGCCCCACACAGCAGCCCCTTCAGGGCCACGGGAGCATGCTGGACCCTGGATCCAAGGCCCCTGTGGACACAGAGGTGGCCCCACCCTGCTTTGCCCGTGCCCCTCCCCCATCCCAAATGGACTCATGGAGGCCCCAACGCCCACCCTGGCCAGCCTCCTCCCTCCTAGCCCAAGGGTACCTCTCTAGCCTGGACCACCCAGGCTTGAGCCATGCCTTGCATCACCCACCTGCCTCTGCCCTTCTCCAGAGATGCCCACAAAGACCAGGCTAGCCCCACTCTGGCGCCCACAGGACGAGGCACCCTGCAGGCTGGGCACAATCTTGGAGCGCATGGCTGGCCTTTGTAGAGCTCAGCATTGGGGCAGTTTGCAGCATCCACCTTCAGGTGGCCGAGATGTTTACAGACTCATTCTGCAAATGCAAAGACCGAGGCTCCGAGGTGAGACTTCTCAGGGTCACACAGTTAGTCTCCAGCCCAGGTTTCCCGGCTCCCAGCACACTGGTCTTCCAAAGATACAGTGGCACCCATCCCCCCGGGCTGCGGGGCTCAGGATCCCAGGCCACAGGGGAGAAACCCGACAGGCAGCTGCAACCAGCGTCCCATCTGCAGAGACCCAGAGGGAGAGGCAGAGCTGGGACTCTCTGGAGGCCCCGAGGTCATGCCCCTAGAAACCCTTGGGGCCAGCACAAGGGGCCCCTGGGAAGGAGAGGGGCTGGGGCTGAGCCCCACGGGGGCAGGCTGTGAGGAGGGGCTGAGAGTGGGGCTGGCCCAGGCCAGAAGATCAGAGACCAGGCAGGTCACCAGGGCAGTGGGGGCCCAGCTGGGGTCTGAGTGACCCTTGCTGTGCCCTCCCTTGCACCAGCCCCCCCTTTCTGCATGGAGCCCTCCGGCCTCTCTTCCACACCCCACTACCCTCTGCCACTTCCTTCGGCCAACCCTGTGGTTATGGCCCCTGCCATCATGGTCATGAGGGGCACCGAGCTGGTTCCATCAACGGAGCGCGTTCTCACTCAACGGCCTCTCAGTGCCAAGCCCCAATCACCAGATTGATCACCCTGCATGCCTGTGCCCTGGCGCTGGGGCCTGCTCCCAGTGTGGGGCAGGGGCAGAGTGCTGGCTGTGAGGCTGCTCCACCCACAAGGCCACAGGGCCTGCTCCCCAGCCTGGCCTTGCCCACTACAGGCTCCCCAAACCCAGGCTTGCTGGAGGAGCCCAGCCATGTGCCACGGGCTGACAGACATCGCCCTGTGGCTCTGCAGGGCCCAGCCATAGCCTGGCTGTGGTGTGCACAGGCTCAGGTGGCCCTGTGATCTTGGAGAGGCAGCATTGTGTGACCTCTTGCAACTGCCTGGGCAAATGTGGGCATCGGTGTGATGCACACACACACACACACGGGGCACACATGCACACACCCAACACTCAATGCACGAGTGAGCACTATGACACATTTATACACCATAGGTGCAAGCACCATGCACACACTACACATGCAGGCACACTCACACATGACGTGTACACACCACACATGTGGGTACACTCATCCATGACATATGTATCACCACATGCATGCACAGGCACACATGACACACACATGCACTGTATGTACAAGCACATTCATTGACACCTGTACACACCACACATATAAGCACACTCGTGCATTCATACACATATAAGTGCACTCATGATGACCCACGTACACACCAAATCACACACATGGATGCACATGACACATGCTACACATGCACGTACACTCATATATGACAAAGGACACACAACATACACAAGTGCTCTCACATATGATACACATTCACACCACACACAAGCACACACACCACACACTACACCATGTGCACTCATACATGACACATGTTTACACCACACCCAAGCACACACCACACACTGTGCATGTGCACTCACACATGACATATACTCACACCACACACAAGCAGACACCACACACTATGCATGTGCACTCACACATGACATATGCTCACACCACACACAAGCAGACACCACACACTATGCATGTGCACTCATACATGACACATGTACACACACACGCACACACTACACATGTGGACTCACGCATCACGCATGTTCATACCACACAAGCTCACACAACGTACATGTACTCGTAAACAACACATGTACACACACACAAGTACAGACCACACAATGCATGTTCACTCATACATGACATATGTTCACACCACACACAAGCTCACACCACACACAAGCACACACCACACACTTTGCACATGCACTCATATATGACACATACACACAAGCACACACTACACATATGCACTCATACATCACACAGTTCACACCACACACAATGCACATACGCCCATAAATGACACATGTACACACACACAAGTACACACCACACAATGCATGTTCACTCATACATGACACATGTACACACACACAATCACACATCACACACTATGTATATGCACTCATACATGACACATACACATCACATGCACACACACAGGTGTACATCACACAAGTGCACACGTACACACGCACACGCTGGAGCACACTCTGCCTGCCGTGCCCACATTTGCCCCACAGATCTCTTTACAGCCCAGGA